GTGTGTGTGTGTGTGTGGTGCTGTGTTTTGTGTATGAGAATAGGTTTGTGGTGTATGTGGGAGTGTGTGGGGGTGTGAGTGTGTGTGGGGGGCAGTAAGGGATGTGGTTGAAGATTGAGAGTGGTCAGAGAGTGACTGTCCAGGGCACTTCAGGGTGACTGCAGTGAGCCTATATAGTTTGGGACAGAGAGTCCTGAGTTTGGGGGGGGGGAGCCACTTGGGCTAGTCTCTCCCTTCTTGTGGCCTCTGGGCCCCCATCTCTGTGAGCAGCCAGGGATAAGCCAGAGAATAACTTTGTCCCCAAGGGAAGGAAACTTATAAAATCTCTTTCCTTCTCTCTCTCGTTCTCCCCCTACCTCCTCTCTCTTTTTCTCTCAGACATACACACCTTGCAATAGGGGTATCCTCTTTCTAAACAGACCTAGGACATAAAGACCTGCTGAAGTAAGGATTTCATTGCTGCCTCTCTTTTAAAGACACAAAATAGGAGCTGACTTGGCAAAGATCACACGCTGGGCTGTGTGGTCCACGCAGGAGCCAGGGCCTGACTAGACTTGGCTCAGCTGCTCCAGGCATGGGGAGACTCCAGGATGAATCTGTGGGGCAGGTGACCACAGCACCTCTGGCCAGAGTGCAGCAGGCATTCAGCAGAGGCACCAGGGACAAGGGGGCTGCACTTCTATCTTACAGCCCATCTCTCCCCCGCTGCTGCCTCCATCAGTGTTGGGGCTAAGCCCGCTGCCCCCAAAGAGAACCCAGCCCTGGAGGCCCCTCTGTGGATAGCACCACGGGAGGGCTGCAGGGGCCCTGGCCAGGGATGGTTGCGGAAGCCCGTGGACCAAGGCCTTGTGGGGGCTTCTGAAGCTCCTGACGTTAAAAAGAGGTGCATTTCTCTGGGGAGAGTGTTCATGGTTATCTTCAGGTTCTAAAAGGGGTCCATGAGGCAAAAATTGCTAGGGTTTACAGTGATGGGTGCGGGCACATGTATTCGTGTGTGTCTCAAGGAGGAAGGGCTGGGGGTGGCATTGGGGCAGTGGCTGTGGGGGGCTCTACACTCACCAAAATCACTGGAGCACATCTGCTCCATGAGGCCGTCGGCACTGTGCTCCATCTCACACTGGGCGCAGATCTTGGTCACTGAAGAGAGAAGCAAGGGTGGGGTCGGGGGAGGCTGGTGAGGGGATTTGAGTCCAAAGAGCCACTTAGGTGCAGGTTCCCCCCACTGACAAGCCTCCACTTCCTCATCAGCAAATGGGTACCACCTGCTCCCTGAGTACTTGTGAGGATGAAAAGAGACAAGGTAGTGCCGCACTAAACTGCCCAGGTGAGCACAGTTGCCCACGACCCTGACAGCTGCAATCATGATGTGCACTGTATTCTAAGTTTTGTCTCATTTAATCCTCAGCCTGTGAAGTAGGTATTATTGTTCTTATTTTAAAGAAAAGGAAACTGAGACCCAGAGTGGCTACCCAAGTCTGCAAACTTAGTGAGAACTGAGCTTGGAAGTCAAGCTTGTGACTCCAAGGCTAGTGCTGGGGTGGGGGTGTTTGCAGGGTCTTTCTAGGAACACAGGGTCCAGGAAGGTGGGTAAACAAGTGACACTGGCAGGGCAAGGACAGTGGTAGAGGAGACCCCCCTCTAAAGTAGGCAGCTTAGTCCTGCCAGAACTTCTGATTTTTCAAAGGAAGCCAAAACTCTTAACTTTTATATGAAATTTTCTGAGTTTTGTCTCTTGGCCACACAAACACTTCAGGCTGCTTCGACTCCTGGTCCTGAGGCCCCTGCATAGCACCTGACCTCTGCTGTCTCATGTCTTAGTCTCTAGGTGGGCACCCCAACAGGCGGGAGTCCAAGTCTGGGATTTCCTCGCTTTTGAGGCTGTTAATGGGCTCTAAGAAAAGGAACCAGCTGGTATCCCTGCTGGGGACTGCACAGTCTCTGCTTGAGCTAGCTTTCTGTTCCCTGCTTCCCGGTTCCATTTCCAACCCAAGGATGGGGTGGGGTTCCTTTCTCTCAACACTCCCCATAGGACCCCCACCCAACGGAGACTCTCAGGAGAGACTCAGGAGACTCTCAGGAGAGGGCATGGTGTGTAGGACGGGGGACTTCATGGGTGAGGTTAGCCTTGGGGGTGGGGTTGGGCATGCTGGTGTCCAGTTGCTTTTTGGGGGCCAGGTCAGATAGGAAAACAATAAGAGCATCGCTGCCCTTTGGGGAAGTCCCAGCACCCGGGGCTCCTTAGACTCTCATATTAACCGCTTAGGCAAAGCTTTCCTGCTCAGTGCCACCGTTTACCCTCCTGTCTGGTGCCCAGCCCCTGGTTACTCTACTTGGAAGGGGTTCGGTAGATATTGGGGGAAGGGTGAGGGGGATGCACAGTGAAGGTGAGACTGAGACCGGGGAGAAATTAGAGGTAATGGGACTTGGGGGTGGGTGGGAGGTTGCACCTAGGATGTCATAGGTTTCAGGAACCTGGCAGTGCTTCCTGTTTTACAGATGGGGAAACCGAGGCTTAAAGTTAAGAAACTCACCTAAGGGGCAGAGCCTGGCAACCTGCTCTTTGTTCTGCACTGAGCTTTGCCCAAAGGTCTCCCAGCCCGGGGAATTGGGGAAGAGAGTGGGAGAATTTAGGGCTCCCAGGCACAGAAAATGGAGGGGGGTGTAGAAATCATAGCCCAGGAGTGCACTTAGCCCCCCCAGTCTTTCGCTATATCCCTTCCCTCAGCCCCCCTCCCCTCCCAAGGTCCCAACACGGGGTGGGGATGCTTGCCTTTGTGCCTTGGGGTCCGTTCAGGGTTGTGGGGGGGGAGGTTAAAGGCATTGTTTAGCGACCCCAGGCATTCTTGGAATGAGAGAGGCAATAAGGCCTTGACCCAGATGCCCCGGGATGAAGGGACAATATTGGAGCCACCCCAAAGATTTCAGCGTCTTGGGAAGGTGAGCCGCTATGAGGGAAGCCCCGAGGGTTTTCAGGAACGGAGTTGGAATGGGGAGAACCGGTGGGAATGTCCAGGGAAGCAGGAAGGCACTACTCTGGCAGTCCATGGGGAGGTGGGAAGGTTGGAAGGCGGCGGGAGACAATCCCTGGGGCACTCAGGGCTGAGCGAAGGAGGGGGATGTGTGTGTGTGTGTGTGTGTGTGTGTGTAGGGGGTGACACCTCTGGGGGGCTCCCACAGCTGTGCTAAGAGGTTGGGGGAATGGCACCCGTCCCGGGCCCAGCTCATGGGCACCCAGGGCCATCGAAGCGCGGGGGGCTGCAGTGGCGGCGCTACCTGGAGGCGCGGTGGCGGGCAGGTGCCCGAACTGCACAGCGATGCAGAGGTCGTTGTCCAGGGGGAACTTGTGGCAGTGCAGCATCTCGGGCCAGGGGAAGCCGTAGGCCTCCATGAGCGGCGCGCAGCCGGCGCGCACGGCCTCGCACAGTGAGCGGCACGGGTAGATGGGCTGGTCGAGGCAGACTGGCGCGAAGAGCGAGCAAAGGAAGACCTGCGTGTCTGAGTGGCAGCGCTTGGCCAGCAGTGGCAGCCAGCTGCTAGCCTGCTGCTTCACCTCCGCCAGGCTCTCGTGCTCTAGGAGGTTGGGCAGCCGCATGCGCTTGTAGCCCACGGTGTGGCAGAGAGGCAGGTCCGCGGGGATGTCGAGGCACTGCGGAGGCTTGGAGTACGAGCGCCCGTGCAGCGGCTGGGTCTGCCACCCGTAGTAGTCGTACTCCTGGCCGCCCACCGGCACCCAATGCAGCACCCCCAGCAGCAGCGCCAGCGCAGCTCCCCG